AAAAAAAGGAAAATACTTACAGTATGAACAATTTTGCAAGACATTTGGTTTTACTTTACTCCTTTTACTTGTTAACCTTTTCGGTAGAGCGCTTTGGTTGCATATTTTATACTTTCTTCTTGCAGATGGAAACCTCATGATGGAAGTTGATAGAGTTCTTAGACCTGGCGGTTATTGGGTGCTTTCCGGTCCTCCTATCAATTGGAAGACTAATTACAAGGCCTGGCAACGACCCAAGGAGGAACTTCAGGAAGAACAAAGGAAGATTGAAGATATTGCTAAACGTCTTTGCTGGGAGAAGAAATCTGAGAAGGGAGAGACTGCAATTTGGCAGAAAAGGATGGATGCTGACTCATGCCGTTCAGAACAAGAAGATTCTGCAGCTACATTTTGTAAATCTGCAGATCCAGATGATGTCTGGTAGGTCATCTTCTTAAGTACTTCAGTTTTATATGTTTGAAATTCATCTGTACTTCAAGAAAATGCTAAGGAGAATGTGCTTCTTGCCTCCCATGAGTGGAAAATTTTATGTTACTGTAACCAAGGTTCTCTCTTTCGGTGTCTTAAAGAAACACGATTATGTCACCAATGCTAAAACTATATGAGTACTTTTTGGACTTACATAAACTATTTCCTAAGAAGTGAGTTTCAAGAAGGTCTCGGTATGTGGAAATATATCTAGAAGTCTTTGTACTTACGGATTTGTGATAATCTGATATGGTGGATTATTGCGTCCAACATTACTTGTACATTGCACTGCAAATCAATATTGAAAATCAAGTTTCATGGTTATTCCATTGTTTTGCTTCTGTTGATCAGGTACAAGAAAATGGAAGGATGCACAACACCAGGCAAAGGTAATGGTGATGACGAGGGCCTAAAGCCATTCCCTGAGAGACTTTATGCTGTTCCCCCAAGAATTGCTAATGGACTAGTTTCTGGAGTCTCCGTTGAGGCATATCTGGAAGACAGCAAGAAATGGAAGAAACATGTAAGTGCTTATAAGAAAATTAACAAACTCATCGACACAGGAAGGTATCGCAATATCATGGACATGAATGCTGGACTCGGAAGTTTTGCTGCAGCTCTTCAATCTCCCAAAATATGGGTTATGAATGTTATGCCAACAATAGCCGAGAAAAATACCCTGGGAGTTATATATGAACGAGGGCTTATCGGAATTTATCATGACTGGTATGGCTTCTTCTCTCATATGCTCAATATATACTTATCGGTATGATTGTGGCTTGGTAACATATCAAGCACACGTGTTTGTCATTTACAGGAAGTTGCAGTATTCTTACCACTCAATTTTTGTGGTTGTGATTATTAATCATGTATTCTCTAGTTTTTTGTTTGTAAATGCAAGGATCATCGGAGGAAACCTTTGCTCTATTATCAATGTCCTTGAGAAGAATTAAGGAATTATCATATGAAAGGAAACCCTTGATCAAATATTACGTTCCTTTCTATGTTAGTTTGCACTTGTACTCCTGGTTTAGGTATAGTAGTAACATATTCACCTTAGAGGACGCTGAACTTGGGATCCTTTTTTTTTTAATTTGCACCGGGTGTCCGAGTCTCTAAGAGCCCCGACTAATCCCGGGGGTGCACAGGCCCTCGGCAAGGAGTTTCCCGCAAGTGCACCACGGTTAATTTAGGTTTTACCAGTCCGATGGCCCTCAAAAATTGTTTGCACCCAGTGGGTTTCGAACTTGAGACCTTGAAAGGGAGCAAACCCCAAGGCTCAAGTCTATTGCCACCAGGCCAACCCCTGAGGGTTAAAACTCGACGCTGAACTTGGGATCTTTGTGTGAGGCCTTCAATATCAAGGGTTTTAAAGTTAATTATGCATATGCACGCAACATACCTATATGCAACAGTATATGCTGCATTTGGTTTAACATCGAATCTTTTCTGCTTGGTGGAAATGGGGGATGAATATCAATCCTATGCAGGCTACGTTTTCATCAAATTGTTTTGTCTATTTTGTCTTTTCGTAAGGAGATCAAACTGTGTATCTTACTCTATTCAGTGATTTTCTCTTCCTCGTATCCCGCTGAAAGATACTCTCTGATCACAGTTATATTGTGATTCAGGTGTGAAGCATTCTCTACGTACCCAAGGACTTACGATCTCATTCATGCTCATGGTCTTTTCAGTTTATACAAGGACAAGTAAGTATTCCATCTTTTTCCTTTTTTTCTTTTTTCTAGCGTGTTCCTCATTGAGATTGTGAACCTTATATGTCTAAAACCTTATATAGTATTGTGGCTCTTAAGAATTGGGCTGGAAGCCGATGTCTTAAATGGAGGTTGTATTGTAAGCCCTCTCTAATTGGCTCAGTGGTGACTCGAATTGCACATAACAAATATTTGCTGGTTTCCTCCTTCAGAACTGAAAACAAGCTCAAAAATGATCTGACTTGGTTCGAAATGTAAAAGGAATAAGTTGGAGTATTAGTCTGGTTAAGCCAAACATCTTCAAGTTATTTCCTCTGTTCCAATTTATATTTGTAGGACACTCTTCTAATTATGTTCCAAAATGTTTGAAATTATTCGATATCTATGTAGCCTTTACAACATACAAAATATTAAAATCATTAAATTATTCAACTTTTAAGCTTTATTTTGTGTTTTCCTTATCAAACTAACTATTCAACTATTGCTTTAATATTTTTTCTTCTTTATCAGCAGTATAATATAAGTCAAATTAACATCTTACACTTGGTCAAAACTCAAAAGTCAGTACCATCATAAAAACTGGAGCTAAGGAAGTGCATCTTATTGCTTCCTGTGAATCCCATTCTGAAGCTGAACTTTATGCGAATAGCAAAACTATTATATAATGCATAAAACTCCATCCCCTTTTCTTAGACCTACTCAAATTTTGTTGGTGCATCTTCTTGTTTGTAACTGTAGTTACCAAGTTTAGGGCGTCTGTTTTGGTTATTTTGTGACATAATCCTTCTTCGGTAGGCGACCCTTCTGGCTAAGCTGAAGTTTACTAATAAGAGCTTTTCTAATTGTATAGAGTTAAGAGATATGTTAAATTTAATAGCATTTTGGAGGTTGGCTGGATTATCCAAATCTGAATTCAATGCTAAAGCAATAGGGTGTGGTATGCTTCACCTTGTCTCAAATACTTGGAGATGGGTTAAGTAACTAGAACAGGTCTGGCGCATTAGTGTATGCTAAAAGGAAAAATAGGTAAGCAAATTGGGATGGATTACATAAAATATTTGACCCCTTAAACTTTTAGGTAATATTAAGGAGTAACTTCAAAATCAAGCATGGGGTGGCCTGTAGTTTATTCTACAAATAGAGGGCAAGTGCATGTTTTGACTAATCCAGAGTATTGTTTCTTGTTGTTGATGCTCTCACCTTTACTATGAAAAATTTGAAGAATACAATGGGGGAAAAAGCACAAGTTGCTTTTATGCTTTTAGCCATATTAGTGTTCTGTATTGATTTTCTTGTTTCCTGATCGTGTAGGTGTGACTTTGAAGACATTCTCTTAGAGATGGACCGTATTTTGCGGCCGGAAGGCGCTGTTATTCTGAGGGACGATGTGGATGTGCTAATTAAGGTGAAGAAGATAATAGGAAGTATGAGATGGGACTTTAAATTGATGGATCATGAAGACGGCCCCCTTGTTCCCGAGAAAGTACTTGTAGCAGTCAAAAAATATTGGACTGTTGGTGATAATAATTCCACATCCACACGATAAGATGGTCGCGAAAATGGTGCTCTGATCAATGTATTTGCAATGGATCGCGAGAACCAAAGTTCATTTATCAATGGTATTTGGTGGCTATTGCAGACCCTTCACCACAAGAAATTTTTGGTCGAGGACTCTCCTTAATGTATGTGTTTTAACTTTCTATTGATGGATCCATAAATTATAGTATATGAACACTTGCATTCATTTTATTGTTCTTTCCTCTCTCTTTGAAGCCTCATTACATGATGAGTCCTGAAACTTCTGATGTACTCTTAGGAGCATTTTCTTCCTTCAAACAACAGATGTTGTAATGTGTTCAATTCGTTTCTCGTATAGATATTACTAATAGGATGTATTTGTAGCTATATCAGGACTTGGTGAAGTGCAGTCATCAAGATTATTTCTCTACATTCTGACATTGTATGGGAATTTGAATATAGATATTATCTGCTTTAATTTCATTACAACAAAATTTACGGAACCTCGCCCCCCCTTTTTTTTTTTCCTAAAGAATTATTCACTTGTATAGTCCTACTGCAATAATAATAATAACAATAATAATAATAGTATTTATGCTTATGCATATCTGCTACGATTTTTTTTGTAAAGCTGGCTTTCCTCCGGGACTGATATAAGAAGAAGCTAAAGAAATGGGGTAGCTTTTATAATTTACAAAGTCTCTTGATTAGCGACAAATTTACTTAAATAATAATTTATTAAACACGTTTGGAATCTAAAATTATTATACTATTATTTTGATTTTATTAAATGAATTCAACCTTTTAATTAGTACTAGAATATTTCATTTTCAGTCCGTCCTCCACTATCAAGGTATGCTGAATTTTCACCCAATACTAACTTAAAACAAGAAGCAATGACCAAATTAATTTTATCCTGGCATTACGATGGTAGTTACACTGAAATGTGAAAAATTATATACTACTTAATTTGAAGGTTAACTGTAAGTAGCAAAATGAATATTTACCAAACAATTGAGGGATGTTTCTTATTTCTTTTTTCTAATTTCTGAAGACCGGCCTATAATTGTGTAATATCTAACAGTTCACATCGTCAGCTGTCACCTTGAAAAAGAGAAAGACAACTCATTGATCTGACCAAGTAATTCCTATGATCCTCATGTCATATTCATATCAGTATTATAAACACTAGACAGGCTTGCAATGTTCTGTCAAGAAGACACCAAAAACATTGACATATAATAAATCTTTAGTATCAGATAGAAATAGAAGCATAATTTACAAAACAATTTTTCTAACTTACATAGTTAATAAAACTCAAACTTATGATAACAAAATAGAGGTTTATAATTACACAATTGTGACCACTTAACCAATAAAACCTCTCCGCGACGGACTCAAAGCCCGAAGCAGACTATGGTAGAGAATATTCAAAAGAAAAAAAAAATCACTTGGATGCATACAATCCATTGCCAGACAATACTTAACCTCTACCTATAGCAAATTATGGGAAACCAGATTATGACAAAAGGAAAAGGCATTATTTGCCCCTTTTTTCTTTTTTCAACCTCAAAAAGAAAACCAGTAATACAACAATATATGCAGAAACATATATACAAATTACTGAGAAAGGCAAATACGGGTGTAAAATTGCAGTGGTACATACTTTCAAAACATGTACTAACAGTCTTGTTAGTCATCCTTGCAATCTTTATCAGGCCGAGCTTCATAACCCCCTTCTGGTCTCTTCACAAGTGCATATGGCATGTACGTACCAAGTATCCTATCCCACGTCACAAAGAAGGGTTGTGAAAAGTTATACTTGCTTCCGTAAAGTTGGTGATGAACGTCGTGGTATGCTGAGTTGTTCTTAAATACGATATGGAACAGGTTTCCCGGTAGCCATAGTCCACAATGATCATCGACTGTCTTGATGGTCGCAAGCGAGAAAAAGAAGATAGAAGCTCGAGGAGACATGCCTGAGAAAAGGAAAGCTAGGGCCCCACCGATAGTGTCAAGTATCAGACCCTCTAAAGGGTGATTGTACAAAGCTCCAAATGCATATGGAACAACTAGCCGGTGATGCTGAGAATGGATATGCTTGTATAAGAACTTGTTTTGATGCATGAAGCGATGCATAAAATATTGCCAAGTATCTAACACCACCATTCCAACAAAGAACTGTCTAGCAAGAACAAGGAAGCTAGCCTGTTGATCTCCACCAGATTCTCCATCATTACCTGTGACCTGTTCCGGAAAAATTGAATTTAGTGAACAAGAATAAAATATCAAACTTGCATCCAGAAACGCATTGACATATAAACACAAATAATAAAAAAGTCTGGACGAAAAATATTAGAGGAGAGAGCACAAGTGGAATAAGATATAAAATGGACCTAGAAAAATCACTTGATTGTGGATTGACCAAGAATGATTTCATTTTGCAATCAGCTAAAAGACATTCCAAAAGCCAAGGTCCGATAACAATCTCTGAACCATATGACGTTGGACTAGATGTTCGCTTAAAGAATTAACGCAAGCCAAACTCCAGTTGGCTGCTATATGTCAGAACAGCTCAAGTGGGGGATGTATTCATTAAGCTGCATGTGTGAAACTAAAGAAATTAGAAACTACACTATTGATCATATAAGTTAGGACCAATAACTCCAAAGTGTAGTTTGAACCCACATGGGCACAAAAGAACAAGTCAACTGCCTCATTTTGAGGTCGCGGAAGTTTAGCAGAATGCAGATATGTTGTAAATAGAATGAACTATCTTACACATAATACTAGAGTAATGGTTACTAATAGAGTAATCTCTCACTTGTTAGTTGTCACCACTTCATCTCTATCAATGTTGACATCAATCCAAGGATGCACTAGTTTCTCTTTCCTCTCCTTTGATGGGCAGGAACAACTTCTTCCTATAAAAGATCCAAGCTTATATGCTGAGCTAGGAGAGTTTATTCTTCTTCAAACTCTCAGCAGTAACCACTGAAAATCCCTCGTTGGTTACCTTTTCAATAATCCAAACGTACAGTTAAGAGGGCTAGTGAAGACTCCGAGCAGCCTATTTTCTCGTTAAGCACTCTTTTTTTACTAGTGACAAAGAATAAACTCTAACTAAACAGAGATCGAAGACATTATCCCTTGCTAGTGCTTCTAATTACCACCACCAAAGTTTAGCAACAGAAACAACGAAATCTATTTGTGTGTCTTCATCCTTCCAGTACATCACAATATTAACTACTCATTTTATGCTACCAAAGGAGGGATAAGGCGAGGGGGAGAGGATAGCCTAACGGACCAATGTCTCTACACCAATCTGCAAAACAGCTCAATCCAGACAAGAAAGGAAGGAGGGAAATAGAAAATCATTGATTGCTAAATTCTTCATAGATGCATCACTGTTATATTGAAGCTGCCCTCTCCTCCAGACCCGCTTTCTCTCACACATAACACTAATTTTCTTGGAAACGAATATTCTAGCATCAACTTATCGGGGCTTCTTCAACATAAAGTGTTTTTAGTTGAGCACCCCGACACCTCTCGACTCACAAACACACAGAAGAGGAAGGAAGCCATAGCACTATGCCACTATCAGTCAAAACTATAGTGCACATTTTGTATCTGATACTTGCACAAAATCATGTTATCTCCATGGTATGTCTACCCTTTCCCTTCAAATTAACACAATTAATATCTGCCCACCTCAGAATTTAAAAATATATAATTAAATGTACAAGCTCAGATAAACGGAGGCACTAGTGTTCCTAGGTTCATAAAATTCTCGGATATTTCATAAAGAACACTTCAAATAACTATCTATAACAGCTACATAGACAAGTGATTTCTCCGCCCATCTGTCAGCCACATTCTATAAACAGCAGGGTAGACAATACATCAACAAGAAGTCTACCATCCTGTCCAAAAACAATTGGACAATTAGAACTAATCATAAATGTCAAAAATGATGAAAATATCCTCTTCATATTAGTAAAAACGAGGCATCACTATATGTTTGTAACCTAAATTCCAAAGAAGAACTATTATCCCTCATAACAGCCTCTTCCAACTCCTCTTCCTCTTCCATGCCCACCACAGGGTATGAAATATACCATGAAAGTATAAACGTCACGTTGCTTACCTAAACAACATATTTCAAATCCAAAAACTCAAAGATCAAAAGGAAGTTTGAAGCCTTCAACCAAAAACCAGATAGCGTTCACCACTACAAGGTCAAACAATCAATCAATAAAATTTGCTTCAACCACAAACTAGATGGTGTTAATGGTACGAATGATCTGTATGCATTCCGCTCTATCTGGACTCATCTCATTCTTACTAATCAAATCAGATTCTACAGCAAATAGCCATCCATAAAAGGTAACAAAGAAAAATACAAGAAGTTGCTAAGGATTTCCCAAAAGAAAATAAAGCTAATAAGCACGCTTCAAATGTAATAACACAGCATCCATCATTTCTCTCCATCTCCGAAATAAGAAAATACAAGACAGAAATTTGCAAAAACAGAACTTTGCAATAAAAACCCCACCATCCTGCAAATGAGCACAAACTGTGCAGCAATACAAACTAATTGTCAATCGAATTAACGCAAGCCAAACTCCAGTTGGCTGCTATATGTCAGAACAGCTCAAGTGGGGGATGTATTCATTAAGCTGCATGTGTGAAACTAAAGAAATTAGAAACTACACTATTGATCATATAAGTTAGGACCAATAACTCCAAAGTGTAGTTTGAACCCACATGGGCACAAAAGAACAAGTCAACTGCCTCATTTTGAGGTCGCGGAAGTTTAGCAGAATGCAGATATGTTGTAAATAGAATGAACTATCTTACACATAATACTAGAGTAATGGTTACTAATAGAGTAATCTCTCACTTGTTAGTTGTCACCACTTCATCTCTATCAATGTTGACATCAATCCAAGGATGCACTAGTTTCTCTTTCCTCTCCTTTGATGGGCAGGAACAACTTCTTCCTATAAAAGATCCAAGCTTATATGCTGAGCTAGGAGAGTTTATTCTTCTTCAAACTCTCAGCAGTAACCACTGAAAATCCCTCGTTGGTTACCNGAACTTTAGCAATAAAAACCCCACCATCCTAGCAAATGAGCACAAACTGTAGCAGACAATACAAACTAATTGTCAACTACGAACCCCCCCCCCCCCCCAAAAAAAAATCTTCACCAGATTCAAATAATGGAAAAAAAAAATCAACAATATGTGCCGCGAGGTGCCAAATCCCAAAGAAATAACTATTCATTGTAACAGCCTCCTCAAGTTCCTTCCAGCCCACCACAGCCACAGTGTATGAACACACCATGAAGTATAATTGCACATTGCTTACAACGAACTGCATATTTTAAACTCAAAATTCAAGAACAAAAAAATTCCCGGACTTCGACCAACAGTGGATAGCCAAGGGCGGAGCGAGAGCATTGGCTAGGGGTTCAGACAAACCCCATAGCTTTTGCTTGGATCATGTACTTGTATTAGGAAATTCATTAAATGTGCATAAATATTTAACTGCAAACTTAGTAGCTAAGACGAGCTATGGCTTTGATGGCAAACTCATAACCATTAAACTTCGAATACTAGTTCCCGCCTTTGTGGATAGCAACCACCATCAAAGGTCAATCAATTAATCAATCAAAAACTATTCTTTCAGTCCTAAATTAGCTGGCTATATGAATCCTCCGTATCCAACTGATCCATGAAATGAATCCCATTTATCAAATTCAAAGTACTTAACATAGTTAAACTATTTTGCATTGACGGTCAACTTACCACAACGTTCATCCTTTACCCAAGACTACATGAATCCAAATTAAAACCCTCCTTTATCTTAGACGTGGAACCAGCTATGCTTTGCAAAATTCTAAAGTAAGACTAAGAAAGCTCTAAAAACATGCTTCAAAACACAAGAATACAGCAATCACCATTTCTCAATCTCAAGAAATGAAAAAATCAAACAGAAAAATTGCATAAAAACAGAAACTTTGCAATAAAGGGGTGATGGGGTTACGAACCGCGAAGAGAATTGTGGCAACAACAGCCTGAACAGCCTGTTGAAGAAGAACCCCTTTAACAACCTCTTTCTTTGTAACCAAATTCTTCTCATCCTCATCTTTTTTTGTATGCAACCTATAATTCTCCATACCCCCAAGCATACAATACAATCCTGAATATACCCAATACACCACTATTGGCGAAATTGTCCCCAACAATTCATCTGACACACCATATATTCCTCCTCTAAATTCAACAGTTTCAATATTCATATTGCCTTGTAGCAAATACAATTACAATAACACAAGATTCTCCGAAATTCCAAAAAAAAAAAAAAAGATTCAAACTTTATGCATATAATTTTAGATTCTTGGTAACTATGAAAAAAGATACAAACTTTATGTAAATGAAACAAGATTACTGGAAACTACGAAAAAAGATTCGAACTGTATGTAAATGGAACTAGATTCTTGTAACTATGAAATTAAAACTTTATGTAAAATTGTGAGTTTATTTATGGAAAGAGGGGAAGATTGTAGCTAGGGTTTGTGAGGGGGGGTGGATTGAATTCTCTTCCAAATTTAATTGGAAGGAATTCAAGAAAACACAAAAAAAGGTAAAGCAAGGCAAAAAAGAAACCTAATGATGATCAATATCTAGTTGTTTTTGTTCTATCTGTGTTTTGAAGTATTAATAAAAAGGGCATTATTATTTGCAGCAAGAGTAGATATATTGCTATTGTTTTCATCATCAATATATATGAGGAATCTAGAAATGCTTTTTGAGAAGTAGTAATAATATTAAAGAAAATAAATATGGACTAATAATATAACTACGCTTTCTTTAGAGAAAAAAAAAATTACTTTTTTTCCTTTGTGGGACCGAAGGAGGGAGATGGGAAAGTCTTCAGGGATCGTTTGGTAGGGTGTATAAGAATAATACTGATTAAAGTTTATTAATAATACTGGAATTATTTTTATCAATTATTTAGTTTAATGTATTAGATATAATATGCATTGCATAATCGTTTAAAGAAGTTATTTGTCTACAAAATACCTTCATGAAAATCGTTGGAAAGGATTTGAAAAAGATTTAAAAGGTAGTTATGCATTTATACATGCTTATTCATATTTAAAAATCATGATATTGCTAATATCATAGTTTTACTATGTATACGAATAATACTGATTATGGTGCATATAACTAATACAAGTATTATTTATATATAGGTTGAAAAACACTATCAAACAAGAGATTAATAGTACCAAAGCTAATACATATATTTCTTATTTTCCCTAATACATCCTACTCCATCCCTCAAATTATCTGTCGTGCTTTCTAAAAATAGTTGTCTCAAATTATTTATCATTTTAGAAGGTGAAGACAAAATAAATTATATTTTTTCTATTTTACCCTTAATAGTATTGTTCTTGAAAATGGAGATAGTAAATATTCAATGAAAAGAGATCATATCTTAAGACATCAGTAAGAGTAAAATAGTCTAAAATCCCTCCTAATTAATGTTTCTTAAGGGACGTTTAAAAAAATACGACGAATAATTTGAGATAGAGGGTGTACCAAACAACTCCTCAAGTGATTGAACTAATAAGCAATTGATGTGCCTAACGTCTTTTTTTTTTTCCTTCATAAAAATCGTTTACAAATGACGAAAAGAATAACATCTAACGAAATTAGAACTACGCATTTGAATAACCTAACATGACGTTGCAATTATTAAACCACGACTTTGTCTCCAAATATTGTTGGTTTTTTTTTTCTAAAATTCTTCTTCTATTACACCGGGAGAGGAAATAGGAAGAAGGTGAAAGAAAACAACGAAAATTGAACTATACCACTTAATATGAGAAAGACTCTCGTTAATTCCATTCGACCATAAGTTCTGATGGTAATTATTGTTAGATTTCTATTGCATCAAAAAAGGAAGCATAAAAGATACTATAAAAATTGAATCTACTCATATTGTATGATTTCTTTGATTATTTCATTGTTGCCTTTCCTGGACTAGGGTTTACAACTTTTGTCGATAAATTCCACAAAATTCTCTCTTCTCTTTCCCTTGTTGATTTCTAATCGAAACTGATGAATGATGGTGTGTGACAATTTGCGTTAATCTCGATTAATTTAGGTCTTAATACATCTATTAATGCATGTACAAAATAATTAAGTTTACTAAAACATAAAGAAAAGAAAAAAAATAATTATCATGGTTTATTTACTTTAGTGAAATTTAAATCCTAGTCTCAGACAATCCATTTTAGTCTTTCGTTGAAACCGAGAAATGTATTCTAATTTTGAGCTGGCATATGATAATGACATTCAAATGGCTAATTTTAATGACGTGCCAAACAAACATAGCAGCAACGCGGAACCGTCGACATCGCCAGTTTCTTGTAAAGTCTAGTTGGTTTGTAGATTTTTTTGGTCATCGTGGCTTCATAAGACTTTAAAGAAAGGGGTTTTGTTTTTATTGACTTTTGACTTCGTAATTAACAAGCCACTTGAGTACTTGGAATTTGACTTCAATTATTCTTAGAATCTTTATATAAATAATTGCTCGAATTTACTCATTATTTTCTCTAACTAATATACATAAATTATATTTTAATTATATATATACTTATACACATATTTTACATGGATTATACCTATAATATTTATCCGTCGGTTATTTTTTGTTTAAGGGATTGGAAAAATAGTTATTTAGAATTAAATTCTTCACTATTCTTTCTCATTTATGTCTTTGGCATGTACACCTAACCTATCCACTAGGCCAAGAATTGAGACCCCCCTCAATATTCTCTCTACTTTTTGGTGGAATAATGTTTATATACGGTCGAAATCAGGTATGCCCGATTTCTCGGGTTCAAGGGGTTGCATTAAGTCCGAGTTCAGGTAAGGTCGGGTTCGAGCTCGATGGACCAGACTCGAGCTCGAAGACAGAATGCAATGCCCGAGGATCGAAGTGCGCGAGGAACATCGGAGCCGAGCACAACTGGCTCCGAGACAGTGCCGTTATGAGTTTGTTACAGAAGGACAAGATTCCTGCCACGTCCCCAAGATCATGGCGTAAATTCCAGAATAGATTTGTACGAATCAGTATAAATCCGTACTAGGCTGTTATACAGCTGTCCCAATAAGATTCTTTACTGTAAATGGAAATGTACCTTATTTAGGGTTTCCCCTATTATATAAAGGGGACCCCAATCATTTGTAAGACTAATCTAATTATTGGCAAAGAATATACTCTCTACTTTTCGCTCATTGTTCATCAGAATTGTCCTTTAACTTAATTGTTCTTGCTTCGTCTCGAGGTCACTGAGCTCGAGGTCGATACTACTTAAGTAACACTGGTTTTGGTTTAATTCACTTATTTCTTTCATTTATACTTTATACTTCTTGATTATTAATTGGTATTGAACTAAATCACATATCTTTAAAACCACAAATCAAATTTAATTTGTTACTCGTATTTTCGAGGTAAACAGTTTGGCGCCCACCGTGGGGCTAAAGATAATAGTGACTATTTCAGTACTGATTCTCATAACACACGTTATTTTTACACTTTTTCTTGTCAAGAATTTTTGATTCTCAGGATTAAACATGTCAAACTCGCAAAACGCACCTGTTCATGACAATGAGGGTCTAGGATTTCATGGTGAAAACAACAATGTAGGGGTCGGTGTACCATCGATAAACCCTAGGGAAGTGCCAAATATGGAACCTGTTGATGTTAGTTCGCACATTGCCTTGAACGCAGATCTAGGTGCAGACCCCGGAGGAAGTGTACGTAGGGAAGCCCGATCAAGGGGCCAAAGAACACCAGGTATAGGAGATGGGGGAGTCAGCCTCCAAGTGATATTCGAGATGCTGCAAGCTCAGCAGATTGCCATCGCTCAACTTCAAAGTCAGAATAAAACTCCGAGCATAGCCGAACCAAAAAACACTCGACGTGCTGAACCAGCACTAGAGAGGTCGAACGAAAATGGCTCGGGGACTGACCCCACCATTGTGAGAATGCTCGAAGAGCTCACCAAGAGGATCGAGTCCGGGGAAAAGAAGATTGAAGACGATGACAAGAAGGTGGAAACTTATAACTCCCGTGTTGACCAGATACGGGGGGCACTTCCAGTCCTGAAGGGTTTAGATGCCAAAAAGTTCATACAAAAACCATTCCCTCAAAGCGCGGATCCGATGCCCATTCCTAAAAGTTTTGCATGCCCGATATACCTAAATATAACGGGACAACCGACCCTAATGAGCATATTACCTCATATACTTGTGGGATTAAAGGAAACGGCCTGAATGATGATGAGATCGAGTCCGTGTTGTTGAAAAGATTTGGGGAAACTTTGCCGAAAGGAGCCATGATTTGGTATCATAACTTGCCTCCTAACTCTATTGATTCGTTTGCTATGTTAGCAGACACCTTCGTGAAAGCACACGCCGGGGCCATAAAGGTGGCAATGAGGAAATATGATGTCTTCAAGATAAAATAAAGGAACGATGAGATGTTGAGGGAGTTTGTGTCTAGGTTTCAAATGGAGCGAATGGAATTACCACCGGTTTCGGACGACTGGGCAGTACAAGTTTTTATGCAGGGTTTGAATGAAAGGAGTTCGATTGCGTCTCGACAATTAAAGTAGAATCTGATCAAGTATCCAACTGTGACGTGGTCAGACGTGCATAACCGTTATCAATAAAAAATCAGGGGCGAAGACGACCTGTTTAGAGCCCCATCGGGTTCAGTTCATCCTAATAGATTGGCAGCCAAGCCCCCGAGGGATACGGATAGGGAATCGAGATTAAACAAGGAACGATATCAGTCGTATGTCGGTCGAAGAAACAGCGGGCTCAGGTCGTAACACTCCTCGAAATGATCGAAGAAATGATTGAGGTCAAAGCTCTCGGGGACTCATGAGTAAGAATGGGTTCGATAAACACACCGACCCCGCGGAGACACCTCGATTGTTAGAGTATAATTTCAGTGTAGACGCATCAGGGATTGTGTCAGCTATTGGAAGAATTAAAGATACCAGTTGGTCCAGGCCTATACAAACCGATCCTTCTCAGAGGAATCCAAACTTGATGTGTAAGTATCATGGCACACATGGCCATAGAATCGAAGATTCCAGGCAGATTAAGGGAAGAGGTAGCTCGGTTGTTCGACGAGGGTCACCTTCGAGAATTTCTGAGTGATCGAGCTAAAAACCACTTCAGGGAGAGAGATGCAAGAAAAAATGAGCAGGAAGAACCACAACATGTAATCCACATGATCGTTGGCGGTGTCGATGTCCCACAAGGACCTGAGTTCAAACGCACTAAGGTATCGATCACCAGAGAAAAACGAACTCGGAGCTATGTGCCCGAGGACGCCTTATCATTCTATGATGAGGAAGCGGAAGGCATATCTCAGCCGCACAATGACGCCCTAGTAATTTCTATCCTTTTAAATAAAATTCAAGTTGAACGTGTTCTAGTGGATCCAGGTAGCTCAGCAAGCACAATCAAATCGAGGGTTGTAGAACAGCTCGGCCTACAGGATCAGATTGTACCTGCATCCCGGGTCCTAAATGGCTTCAACATGGCAAGCGAAACAACAAAAGGGGAGATAATCTTGCCAGTCAATGTAGGCGGGACCATAGAAGATACAAAATTCCATGTCATCGAAGGCGACATGAGGTATAATGCACTCATCGGGAGACTATGGATACACAACATGAGGGCGGTACCTTCAACTCTTCATCAGATGAT